TAAGTCACATAAATTACAGCTGGAAAACATAATACAAAATAAAGGTTCTCAGAAGGTATTATGACCTTAAGCATTAAGTGTTTTTCATGTGCTCTGCTTTTACGTTATGCTATCATGGTCACTACACTACATTAAAGTGCTCATTATGGTAAAAGAAATAGGATCGGAAAGCAACACAGTTATTTTCCCTTTCTGAAGGGATATAAAAACACTGTGTTGAAGCCTTTCATGTTGGGATCTAATACAACCTAATGCAACTGAATCATTGATTCAGTTGCATAGCTATGAGTAATGTTACAGAGGAGGCAGGAATGCAGCAGAAGCAGGAAAGGGTGTAGCAGACTCAGATTTGTTACTTTACACCATTATGAGCTGTAAATTAAGTCTGCACTACAAAAAAAAAAAAAAAAAAAAAAAAAAAAAATTGTTGCTTTTAATCTAAGTTTAACTACACCCTAGCCTAGTACACTGCACGGCCATACGTGTTTATATTGCATAAAGGAAGAACAGATGACCAGGGATGAAAAATCACAACTTTCAAAAGTAGTGCAAGTTTATGCTGCTTTAGTTGTTTTGTGAAATTACTCTGCTAAAACTTGGTTTCACAACTGTTTTTAAGTGAATTAAGATTGAGATGTTTCAGATAAGGGTTAATGCTTATGCTTACAACACATTCCTGTGTCCCCTCCTTCTTGCAGTATTAATTTACCAGCTGTTAAGAGTCAATCCAGCCTCCTGTGTAGTTGTAAGAAACACCAACGCAAACAGAAAAGGAGTGACAGAAGCGTGCTTTCAGGACAGGTAGGAGGGCAGGAACGAGGAGCCTTGTGGCAGTAAGGATCGTTGTTTGCCTCAGCCCTGAAGACCACACATCTACACTTAGCTTAAACAAGACGGAGTACTGTTCAGCAGAATCAGTTCCCTGATCTTGTACAAATGTCCGAGTTGCTCTACTGTACAAATGTAGGCATAATATGTGACAGTAGTAATAAGCAGCCTGAAACATGAAGAAGATAGGACTGCCTCCCAGGGTAATAAGAGTTTAAATTCCATTACGGTTCACTAAAATAGATTGCACAAAACTGCTGAACTGGAGCAGTTCGCCAAAAACATACAGACTACTGTCCAGTACACGTCTAACAAAATATGCCTTTAGGCTGACATTGCATGCTCCGAAACTTACTATCTTTTTAATAAATTAACTACTATAGTAGAAATGTAAACTTTCTTCCTGCAAATAGTGATTTTCTATAGTCATAAAATCAGATTAGACACTGTTACTGCTATAACTTACAATAAGTAGTTTTGGTTACACAGAGTGGGTGAATATGAAAAAAATACATAATCAGAAGCTTCAGAATTTAAATGAAATCATATTATCTCTGTGGTTAAAAAGAAATTCTTGCTCTGAATTATTATCAAAGGGTGAGAAAGTCCTGTACACACAGTGTTGATAATTGTTTGAAAGAGTTTAAATTTCAAAGACTGAGGGTTCATTCCAATACGGGCTCCTAAAGGAGAAACAGAGGAATGAAAATCCAGGATTGGAATCTAAATAACTTTTTTTTTTTTTACTTATAAACAATCACATTCTTTTTGGAGATGGGAGCTGTGTTTCTGCGCATAGCAGAGACTCCAGTGTTGAATAGCTATGCTTTGTATTTTTTGTAATACATGAATTTTAGTACCACCTCCCTTCTAAGTACATTTAGTAAACATCCTCACTTTAAACACAGGATAGATGTCATCCCTTATTAACAGCAGGTACTGACTGCCTTCATGGAACACACAGATGGGTGCACTAGTGATGTTTTCTATGTAAAACCTATTGGTTTTCACACACAGCTAGGAAGGAGAATTCAGTATTCTAGTCAAAGGAGATAAGAATGATAGTTTGCAGATGGACACTCCAACATAATTCCCACTAGTGTCACTAAAGGAGGACTGGTAGAGAAAGGATAACTGTCTTTTCTGATTAAGCTGGCATTTCAGTGTAAAGAATTCAAGGTTCTTTAGAAACAGCAAAATCAAGAGCATTATTTCATAGCTTTATTGGCTGAGCATTCATGAAGAGATGCCTTACGTTCCAATTCTACTAAAAAATATCTGATCCATTATAGTTAATGATGAACACTAAATACACCCTCTCCTTGCAAGCATTTTACCACTAGTTTATAGAAGAAAAGTGGGCATTAATACTTTATGTCCTCAAGTATGTACAGTTACAGAAAATAGAAAAAATAGACAATTGTCTGCAGAGGATCAGAAGCGAATAAAGGTATTTTCCTGCTGTCCATGTTCATGTAGAGAGATTATTATACTTGATACCTTGCATATAAGTTTTTAATTTTAATCTTAACTTTACTCATGCCGTACAGGTGAACTGTGAGCACACAGTGTGGCACTCCTGACTCTACTTGGAAGACAGAACAATTAAAATGTAAATGTCATAGTATCTAGCTTGTTAGCATAGAAGGCCTTTATTGAATTTTGCTCCTAAATTCAACCACTATATAAATTTCTTATTTTAGAAGGAAAAAAATAACATACAACACATTTTTCAATTCTGAAACAATTTTCTTGGTGAATATTTATTAAGTTAATATTTATTTCAATTAGTAAATCTAAGATGTAATATGCTAGAGATTAGAAAAGTCCTGAATATTCTACGAAAGTCACCTGATGCCTACATTTCTGTACTTATCACAAGCTATGAAAACAGACTTCAGAAAAGTCTATCCAGCAACTTCCATGAAAAAATGGCTTAGTAAGACATTCCCAGCATAACAAACTTCAAACAACTCTGGAACCTTTATGACTATATTCACAGTCATAGGTAATATTACATAATGGTAATTCACTAACCTACGCCCTTTCCAGTGCATGTTTGCACCAGAGGTTATTAATCTGTACCTCACAGTCTGACCTGGAGATGCTGAACAAGTCACTGATGACACCATGCCCTGTCATGCTGTTAAAAAGAATTGCCATGCTTTAACTATATTAGCTTGCTGTGCTTTTAACTCACCAATCAACTCCTAAGCCTTCCATGACATCTTCATCTATGATGTCAACCTCTGACAAGTGAGTACTTAATAAATCTTAAGCTCTGTTGTTGGAAAAGAGAAAAGAAACTCTCCTTTCTACAGAGGCTGAGTGGCAGTGAGATAATCCTTACTCTATTCTGACATTTCGCACATTGACCCCGGGGAAATAATTCCTGTCTGCCTGTCCTCACTCAGAACTTTTGGAAAAAAACAGCCTTGGACTTCATCAAACAGTCTCAATGCTTCCTAGGGAGCCAGGGAGTTAGGAAAAGAACCTGTGGAATGGGTCAGAACTCAGTTAAATCTGTCTCCAACAGTACCACAGCGGCACACAGGCAGGGCAGCAACATGACAGCTTCCCAGATAGACCAGAGAACCACTACTGTTGGAGATCTCCACAGCGTAGAGAGGGGTACTCATGTGCTAGCAACAGGCCCAGTTCCAAAGGGAAGGTGTATTAGGTGATGTGCAGAGGCCCATGCAAGCAACATGAAACACAATCCAAAGGCAGTAGGTTTGCCTGTTTGCTATTGCTCAGTGATAGCAACACATGATTTAATATTCTGATGTTTAGAAAGTTAGAACTTGTGACCATAAAAGTTAAAACTGTATACATTCTAAGAAAACTTGAATTCCGATTAAAGTGATAGCTAGTTATGCTCCTAAGTAAAGACTCTTTTTAAAAACAAAATACATATATTTCTCAAGCCCTGTTGAAACCACAGACTAGACTAAATCAAGTATCTCTTACATGTCAAGATATAAACAAACACATATAAGTACTAATGACTTGAATTTTGTACAGAGAAGAGGAAAAGTCCTCAAAAATTAATCCCTAAGCTCAGTCTATTCCATATCTACAGAATGAAATTCAAACTAAATAACCTATAAAACATTCCTTGGATTTTTTTAGTCCTGCGTTCTTCCCACTAAGGTGAAACAAGTTTTCATTTTACTAATATGAAGGAGGTTGTTTATGTACAGAACTTCTGTTCCATTTAAACTTCAAATGGAACAGAATATGCATTTTTTTTACTTTTCTTAAGAGGGTGTTCTTACAGATAACGAATCAGTAGACCTCAAAAAGAAGAATGCTATAGCAAAACAAGGGAAATTATGTCTCACAGAAGAAATCAGAATGATATACATAATAACGATAATGGCTTAAAAAAAAAGTAAAAGAGAAAAAACGTAAGTTAGTTAAAACATTGAATTGTGTCTAAATAAAGGGAAATCCAGACCCAATTCAGGAGTTTCGTATCAGTTTCTTCACTCACATGGAGACCATTTGCATTCTGCACTAGTTGAAGCTTTTATATTTGTTCCTTAAGTATGTTAAATGTAGACAAATAGCATAAAGAAATTTGAATGGCCTTGATCCCATTATTTTCACTCATTTACCTCTAATTTCATTAGAAAGTGGGTTATTAATGACGATGAAGTTTGCGGGTTCCATTCCTCTTAGCCTAAGAAATATCAGATGGAGAATTAGTTCCTCCACAGGCTAGCATTCTAATTCTGTGCAAATTAGTTTAGTTTAGTTTAAAATAGTTTAAAAATCACTATATTTTCCAGACCTTTGCCATCCTCTGTGACACGCGCATCAAACATATCCCACGCTGTGTCACTACGTGCAAGCAACTTACACTTAAAGTGCTGCTGTATCCTCTGGCAGCATTGTGCACAGCGCGAGGCGGGGAGCCCCGCACACGGCTCTGCGGGCTGACTGCTAACGCAGGGCCCGCACCGCGCAACGCAGGACCTCGCAGAAAGAAAGGCGCCTGCATTCCCACAGGCACGGGCTGTTACCTGGTGAGAACGTGAAACCTGCAAGCAGCCGTAGCAACCAGCAAACTCCAGATGCAGTTCCAGCACCCGCACCCCTGCCTGCCAGGCATCGCTCCCCCGCCCAGAGGACACGTTTGAGGACCGCTACGTTAGTCGCAAACGTACCACAGTGTTTTTCATCATGGCTTTGACAGTGAAGCCGTCAGAGACCTGCTGCTTGTTTTTCTTCACGTGTCCCAGCGGCTCCTGCTTCTGGGGCCGCCTGTTCCCCGAGGGCTTGGCGGGGCCGCAGCCCGCTTCCTCCACTACCATCTCCCCGCAGCGGGCGGGAACCGGCACGCGGACTGCAAAAGCACAAACAACAACGGCCGGGACCAGTCAGCTACCAGAGCACCGAGCCGTCCCGCAGCCAGCGGCACCGCCGCGTTCGCGCTCTTCCCGCTCCTTCGAGCCACCGCCCTCGCCCCCCGGCTCGTCCCACCGTCCCCGCAGTCCCCATTTCTCCGCCGGTCGCCCCGGGCGCTCCCCCTCACCCCTGTGCCACCGGCCGGGCCGCGCGCCCGTCGCTAAGCAACGCGTCAACAACCGCCGCTCTGCCGGGCGGGGAGGAACCCCAAAGGCAGCGAAACGAACGGCGCGCGGGAAACCGGCGGGACACAGCAGTTAGCAGAAATCAGTTACACGTGATCGTGCTCGTGCTCGCGAGCGTGTGCGTGTGTCTGTGCGTGTGTCCACGCGGGGAAAGCCGGCAGGCACGTGAGGCGATGTGAAAACCCGAGAACTACGTTACCCAGAGGGCCCCGCGGCGCACGCGCAGTTCGCTGCCGGCTGCACTTCCTCCCCCGACCGCTCGCGTCGGATGGCTGCTCGGGTTCGGACGGCTAGAACAGCGGACTTAGGAGCGTGCGCGCGCCCCCTCCTCTCCTCCTCTCTCGGCCGCCATGATAGGTGAGTGAGCGCGCTCCCCTCCCCAGAGCCCGGATGCTGATCCGCCCTTTCCTGCCCGTATCGCTGCTGCTGCGGCAGCCGTGTCGGCTCCACGGGGGTGACGTGGGTTGGCTTCTTACAGACGAGTCCGCTTTGGTGGGTGGGTGCCCGCTGTCAGCGGTGTGGGAGCGGTCAGGGCACGGGGTCACGGCGTCACGGCGCGGGCAGGCAGGCAGGCAGCGCTGCCCTCGTCCAGCCCTCTGCTGAGGCGAGCCCAGTGACAGCGCGTACAGGGCCTGCAGACAGAGTCGTTTTAAATTGTTACTTCTCTCCGCTATATATGATTCACGAACCTGCCTGGCCGTGACGCGTTTTTGGCCTGACATGGTGCTTGCTGGCAGCGATGTGCAAAAGAAGCGAGTTAGTCCTCGTGCAGGCTGGGTGCTCGGCCGTTTGGTCCTTAAGGGGCTCTGCAGCTGCCTGCTGCTGCTGCTGCACTTGGCGCTGCCGCGGATCTGTCCGCGTCCGGCCGCGCGGTGCCTTGCTGCGGTCCGCTTCCTCAGGCGCCTCAGCCTCGCTGTTCGCCCTTCTTGTCTGCAAAGAATGACGTGACGACATGCTTTGCTTAAGGATAGCGCAGGAGATCACGTAGTCCACGGTATCAGTGTTAATGTTATCTCTGCTGATTTGTTGCCTTGGTATAGTATATAAAATCTGTGCTTACGGAACTGCAGAATTTGATTTTTCAGAACTTTGAGGTAACCGTTGTGGTTACGAAGTTCACGCCTTCAGCTTCACAGCGAAAGGTTGCTGTTTGTTTAGTGTATATACAGGCACTCTTTACGTGTCTGAGGAGTTGTTACTTTTGCTGTGGCAGACAAATGTTTCTGACTATTGGTCGTGAACAGTATTCCCCAGCTAGCTGCAAATTTATAAATTCTGCCTTATGTGAGTTGCTGCTTTAAGTGATTTAAGCAGCAACTTTTTGTTTTATTGAAGAATGTAAAAACACGCACAAAGCTTCTGACACTCCCCAAAAAGCTTTGTAAATGCAAGAACTGCTTTCAAAGTATGTGGTGTAGTGGTGTACTCCAACATCCTGCCCTCTGGAAAGTTTCCTCAACACACTTAAGAGTTAGGAATACTATGGCAAATTTGGGACTAGGAAGGAAAGGGGGAAGCACTGTAATCTGTGCCAACACTTCTTTAATCTGAATGCTTAAAGAATTACATTATGAGATATATATTTTCCAAAATGTGTTATTCTTGTAACTCTGGGAATGCTTGATGTCCACAGTGAGTTCTTGTGGCAAGACAGGACAGTTGTGCAATACATGGCAGTTAATTCCTTTAATAGATTTTTAATTTCCTATCTCTTGCTTTCAGTTAATGCCACTTTGCAGTTGTGCTATGACTTATGGAGAACAAGCCTGATTACCATGTTAGTCTTCCTATTTTAAATGTTCTATAATATTTTTTCATATCCAGTTGTTTCTTATTTTTTCTTTCACTGGTGAAACAGGTGAACATTTGAATTTCTTCTACTCTTAGTCTCTCTCTTTCCTTTCTTTTTTCCCCCCTATGAAGTTTTTTCAAGGATTTTTGTCAAGGAAGGTTTTCTTGTTTTTGTTTTTTTTTTTTCTATAACATATCATTCCAGAAGAGGCTAAACCATTGACTTACATCACTGACTCTTAATAGTGTCCATATGACTTCTCCTCCTGCTTGATATTGCATTCTCTTGTCAAGGTTTGCACAGAAAGATTTGCTTACAGATAGATTTTTAAATGCTAGTAGCATCTTATTTGTAAAAAAAATACTAATCATATATTTAAATTAAATATATAATAATATAATTAAAATGTGCTTATTTTTAGTAGGAGATTATTCCTTGGGAGAGGCCTTCAAAATAAGCATATGTATTTATTTTCATCTATGTGACACCTGCATTTGGAATATTGTATCAACAAGTTGATGATGTCGCTGTCCACTTGTGCAGAATATCCTGGGTTGAATCTATGTCTTAGGGCTGTGGCATGCATGGCACTGCATTGAGCTCATGAGTGCTTCAGGAATTTTAGTTATTCAGTATATCTTTAGAAGATGGTGAAGATAAATGCCAAAGGCAGCTCTTGCTTTTATGACTGCTTTTAGAAGATTGTTTGTTTTGTAATGTTTTACCTTTTCAATGAGGTTGCAAGAATAATTCAACTGTCATTTCACTTCTGCGTGTGTTACTTTATAAGTTACAATCAATTTATGCTCCTTGCTGATGGGTTATGCAGTTAAAACTTCAGGAAACTTACAGATGTGTGTTTAGTATTTTTTATTAATGAAAATGATCTAATTGTATAAATGAGAAACACTGGAATAAACAGTTACTCATTTTGAATAGAGAGTATTATATGTATGTTCTCTGACTGATGAAAGATGGCAATTTCCATGTGCTACTTACTGCTGCAGAGCCAAATGTGTGTTCCCTTTCTATATTTGCAGCAGTGGTTCAAGTTACATGAGCAGAATGTCTGCTACTTGAGAGGTGTTGTGCTTTGTTGTCTTCTGTCAGCAAGCTTAAGCTTGCTATAAATGAAAGTGTTTCTGTGGGCAGCTTTTCTCTTACCATTTACCTTAAGCTCAAGTGATTTCAAGTCCTATTTCAAAATTAGTGTCTTTTTTGTTTTTTCTCTTTGCTTTTTCTTTGATTTTATTTTTTTATTATTTTTTTATTATTATTTTTTTTCCTCTGTGTGCACATTTGCTCAATGGCTCTTTATGCTTCAGTGGAAACAGTGGAAATACCAATGTGTTGAAGAATTCAAAGTTTTAAAGCAGTGAAGCTAAGAACATTTAGAAATCATGAGTTTAATGTTAAATTGTGTCCAATGAGAAGAAAACTTATCAGCCTAGAATCCTGATGAATGCAAGCTGGAATTGCCACCACTGCTTTCCTCTCTTTTCTGTAGTGCCAGGCTGGCTAATGCTTTGAGAGGGCATTTTCATGGTTTACAGCTGATGTGGGGATAGAGTCTGCTGGTGATTTCTTGTATTGACTTTTTTCCTGGATGGAAAAAAGTGGATGAGAACAACTTTACTGAAAGACTGATTTGCAGCTATTGGGTGCCCTAGACAGCAGTAACCGTTCTGATACATAGAGATTTCTCTGCTATGTGGTGGATATTCTTTTTTCTTGTTCTTTGAATGAGTGGATAAAGAGAACAGCAGAAATAAAAAATACATCTACCTTTTAACCACCATGTCTGTCAAAATGTGGCTGGTACTGTCACTTCAAAATTGTTGCCTAAGTAATCCCATTAACGCCTAATCCCAGGAAGAAGTCTTGGAGGACAACGTAAGTTAAAATCTCCTCCATGAAAATAAGAACCAACTGTGGGCTTTTTTTTTTCTTTTTTAATTGTAAAAAAAAAAAATAAATAAAATAAAATTGTAATTTGCTGCATACCAGGATATACAGTGTTCTGTCAAAATGTTGGAGAGCTTTTGTGAGGACACAAAGAATATTGAATTGGACTTTGGGTATTTTAGAAATCTATTCCACAGTGAGTTTGCAGCTGGCTTGCATACAAGTTATTCTTATCTTGGAATGGTTGTTGAAAATAATTTTAAGGAAAAGAATGTTAAGTAATAATGTAGTCATGATGAGGTGTGAATGTTGTATTTAAATATGTTGACTGTGTTGTTGTAAACTAGGAACTGATGGAATTGATAACATGCTTCATGATTAAGATCATATGAAAGAACTTAGTTGACTGAAATCATCAGTTCTTCATTGGCTAGTTCTAGATTTCTTAATAATTTTCTTCACTGCTGAAAAGAAGTCATTTCTTTTGGAAAGAAAATATAAGAAAGAAAGAAAATAAATATATTTGCTTGAAAAGATAAAATAAAAATGGTCACTTATATATGAGGATCCTATCAACCCTCTAGGCCACTCTAAGCATTGAAGACTATGGGATTAATCAGAAGGAAAATACACTGGTGTTATTTTTGAAGATGATGGAAGAAATTTTGTGTGGATTGATAAGAACTAAACAAAGACTTCCTGACAATGTTCTGTTTTTTAAGTGCTCACAAAATAAGCACTTATTTTGTTATGTTATTACAGTATTATCACATATATACGTTATTACAGTAATGTAATATCTTACGCATTAAAATATTACACATTAAGACTAATAAAGCAGTGGCTACAGATGTTCCAATGCAGTTTTCTGAGTCTTTTAGCTAAGACCCTAAAGACACAATTTCAAGTTATAGTGATCAGGATCTCTACCCTTCTCTGCATTATCTGGTTGCTAGTAATATATATGAAAATAGAATTATGAGTGGGTAGATATGAATGTGTGTTGTGTTGTGCTAAATGTTAG